AAAACAAACCGATTTGATTCTATCATTCTACCAAACCGAGTTATCAGAGAAACGCTGTCCACGGAGATGAAAAGTGTTAATATTAGCGTCATTTTGAGTTCTGTTGTTCAAATATGCTCCGTAGTTCGCCGCACTGAGTCAATAGTCTTTTAAGTACGTCGGGCGACATCCAGTTTTTTAGGCTACAAAATATTTCCATTGGATACATCTGTTTCAGTGTTCGAAATAGACGCCAATGCTGAGTCACAGTCTCGATCTCAATCGAAACACTCAGAATGGTACTGGTACTTCCTGTGAAATCTAGCGACGCCGAGACTCAGGGAAAAGGCCACAAAAGTAGTGGTTAGTTGTTAGTTATTGAAGGAAATAAGTANAGGTTTTAAAGGAAAAGGAACAGACATCAACCAATCACCGGTTCGTGCACTCTTCGTCTCAGGACTCCTGTTTGAACCACATGTTTGTTCAGGATTCCAGACTATTGATCTCCGAGTCGTTGTCCTGAAACTGTAACGTATATTACTTTAGACGGTATTTCCTTGGAGGATAGGCTCACCGTTTCAATTTTACAGGATTGTAAATAAGATCCGTTTGGTTGTCCCAGACGGTCGTGAGCTACGTATTTACCGTTCAGAAGTGGAGAACTACAGCGCTGTAAATAATAATATATAACAATAACTAGTCCTAGTGATTTTCCATTTAGGCCGGTTCATCTGGTACTTTATCGCATTTTATCTTCAGTTGCTGCGGTTTGATCCAGTACTAGGTAGTTGGTTTGTTACCCAGATTCACACATTTGGTAGACTAATAATATACCCTTGAAATCCGTTTATATGGTTATTAATTTTTAGCAAACCTTCCCAAAGGAACGGTAAGTTCGTTCGCCAGTTTGCTGGTTTGATGTGAAATAACCTCATACACCATTGGAACCGAATTATCCCTCGTGTTTTCTTTTTGATTTTGTAGAATCCAGTGGTAGAACAAAAGCTGTTGGAAGATTATGATCTGGGACAATATTTGAAAGAACGTGTTATTCCACGTGCCGTCACATATTTCACCGGTGAGGCATTGGACTTAGACAATGAGGTGAGCCCGTAAAAACAGCAGACACTTTGATCTGGGTTCTTTTTTGCGTTTTAGAATCATTTCCTCAAGTTCTATACGTTTACATATGAGAAATTGTTATTGTTTAAAAATTCCCAATTTTCAGGTTGACGACCCTGATGAATTTCCGGTGAGTACTTTTCTCTCCTGACTGTTTTCGTCGGTTTTTATTTGTATTGTTATATTTATTATTATTATATTATATATTATATATTATATTATTATTGTATTATACATATATATATTCACAAATGCATTTATGTACATATAACAGGAGTACAACTGGAAAGTACTTATTATTACATATGTTTATCTTAGCAATATGTTGGTCCTTTTCGCCTACTCTTGTAGCATTCCGTGTAGTTTTTTTGAGAGCCTGCAAAGGTGGTCATCTTTCTACATAATTATTACTTGCATTCTTGAACGAATTAGGAGCACAAACTCCTGCACAAACTACAACGGTACATTGATTCATTAAATTAGTTGATATAAATGAGCAAGCAGAAACTGGTGGTGGTGACCCGGTGGTAACGTCACCAAATTATCACCACGCGGGACGTGTCTTCGAACCCCACCACCACCGCTTGACTTTTCCATGGCAGCTGTCTGATTGGCCGCTTCTCCCTTCCTGAAATTTGTATCATTCTCTATTCAATAAAAGGAAGTAAAATTCAAAAGAAAAAAGAAAACATGGTTGTTCGCGTCTATTTCAAACATTGATAAGATTGCTTACAGTATATGCAATGATGATCACCAGCGTTTACTGAAATCAGTCCACTGGGTATGACAATAATACATGGTACATTGAATTCAACAGCTTGATCTGACTTGATTTTTACTCACACTTAGTTACCCCATTGAGTATGTTGTGAGTCCGATTTAAGTGGCCAAGAGTTCTTGAATATTTCAGTGCAACAACTTACGTGACTAGATACAGGTCAAGATTAGTCCAAAGTCACAAATAGTTTTATCCATCCTAGTGGATGGATGTATAGCTCCTTGCACATCAGTATCTTTTATCATCGCATACAGTCACAGAGAGACAAAGTATGGCGTAGTTAATCAAAACAGGTGGCGTAAATTTGTGAAAGTGGGTATCAATTACATAGGATTTCTAAAAGTTGTCTCTAACTGAATTGGAATAACGGACAAACGGTAAGCAGTGATAGGACTATACATAAGATTAGTTACGGAAATGGAGACATGTTTTTCAAGATCTATGTGTAATGGATAAGTTATATCTGATGGAATATTGTTGCAGAAGTTTTCGCAAGAGGCAATTGCATGCAAACAAACTTGTTTTCGTAACTTCGTAACTTTCCGGGTGTGTCCAGTTCCATGCACGTTCATACACAAAGTACGCTGGAATACCGATTGGCCATTAAATTAGGATCAATTTGCTTAAAGCAATTCTAAAAATGACACAAAACGAAAAGGTTTAAAAAAACAGGAGACGAGGAGGATAGTTCGAGGGAAAGACTCAGGAGATGTGTCTGTGGAGTACATTGGACTTCAGCGTAAAGCGACATTGACCGCATTTTCTGACGTCATCGTCACCTGACAAAGGTCAAGATCAGATTCACTTTCTCAAAGTCATCTCAAGCCCCGGGGCGACTGTGGTGCTTAGATCGGTGGTTTTCCGGTTTACGTAGTTGTGTTTGACAGTTTACTATTGTTCGTTTGCGCTGTTGCACGAGCCTCGTTTTATTCGCTAGAGCTAGCTATATGACTTTGAAATCATCATTGCCAACTGGATGAACGATTTCCACAAATTAGGCCACAACTGTGCTTGTTAGTTTTCACGGAACCAATGCTCAGTCAGGCTGATTTGTTTTCTTTGATTCATCATGACAGTCGACTAGTCACACACACTTCATTCCATTGATGAAGTGAGGACGAGCAGTTTATTTTTGAGATTCGTGTGTGCAATTAGACCACTGATGCATGTTGCCCATAGAGTAGCGGTTAGACAATGGAGGACAACCACCTTTTGTATATCGCATTTGAGCAGTTCGCTATTCGCATTGCCTTTAAAACGTGATTACGAGAACACCTCTTTTGTTTCTGTCCTTTCCGGCGTGTTGTCCTCAACCAACCGTCCGGACTATAGGTTGTTTTGAACAGTGTTTGATTTTCCCCCGCGTTCGGTCTCTCTAGTGCGTCTTTGGAACTGATTAGGCAGGTTCGGATTATCGGAAAAGATTCATCATATATATTTGGTGGGGAAGAAGATGAAACAAATATTTGTTTGAGCATTATCAAGTTAGTTTATGGTAGATAAAATGATATATTTTTCCGTATGTATATTTCTCAAGTTTGATGTTCAAAAACCGCAATTCGTTGCCTTCCTCCATTTGGAATGTATAGTCTATAGTACCGCAGCCTGGGTTGAAAGAATAAATGAACTAAACAGACCGTTTAGGGTTAAAAATTTCCACGTTAGTTTTATGAATAAGTATTGTCACATATATTGATGTTGGAGGGCAAAATGCCCGACGTAGTGAAAGCACTCGAATTTGATTTTGCTTGACTGAAGATTCAATTGTCAATATACAGCTCAAACTTTGGAGAAAATCTGGATTGGGGTTCTCCGATCGTTCAGACTGAATTTTAGTTTGATATATCTTAACTACGCGTTTCTGCGAAATTTCGTCAATGATTGGTCTAACACATGGCGCTCATCAACACCAATTTCTTCCGAAATGGGTTCCTATTGATCGTTATCTCTTTTCAGGATTCTAAGGCTCGTCTTAATAGTGTCTATCTTGCTTGTGGAGTGATGTGCATATGCCGAAGTTACGATAAAAGCTTATTCGCACAAAACCAGATCCGCTATCACTATCTATCTCGTGACCATATATCAATTCCTCCTGATTGTGGCGGTTCATGTATATATATATATATATATATATATATGTGTGTGTGTGTGTGTGTGTGTGTGTGATACTGACGAATAAACCACTGTTGTGAAACGTTATGAAATTCAAATTGTGCGCACGTGTAATCACCATGTCTATTCTCACTGCAGGATGATGATCTTGATGACGAATCGGACGAGGATGTGGATGACGGTGAAGAACCGTGAATGAACTCTTTCCTGTACGATTACATGTGATAAAACTATACATCTATTATTATGTGGTTCCACTTCAGTGCTTTTTCGATAAACATGAGGTGTTCATCTGGAAATACGTCTAACTAGTAGTGATAGAAAGATACAATCAGTCATCCAGAAAACAAAAGACAGCAACCAAAACCGGCGCGCGAAAGTGCATGGTTGATGATTGTAAGAACTGAACTGTACCGAACTGAACTGTATGGTAGAACACATAAAAAGTAAACATGAATGCCATTCAATCACTGGTTTAATCGATTTGCCTTTGAACTCATCATTTTCTTTCTAGTTAATGTCACAGCGAAACGTAGATTAAAGCGTTTTTGTCTGGTGTTTGCCTTTAGGTATTAGTTGTGGTAAGGCAAGGCTGTTTTCGATTGACATGACAATATCATAGAAGGGATGTGTGTAAAAACAATAGACCTGTAGTATATATTTGTCGAATAATTCATTTACAAGAGAAAAGAAGACAGAAAGAGAGTTTAGCGGATAATTCAAGCAAATATTAGCCGATTGCTTTTACAATTACAAAAATGTGACACAATAATTACATCAACTTGTATCTAAAATAACGTACGTTGTTCAATTCGTATTCATTTCGGTTGCGATTTTTTTACCTTTGGTGCAATACGACGATGTGTTCTCCGTCAGCTTTCGATTTAACTGATATATTGAAATACAAAACGAAGTATTTCATCAGAAACACGCCATCGATTAGAATACTCAAAGTCTAAATGAAAAATACTGAAGATAGGTGTTGGATATTCAGGTTTCAACTCACTGTAGGGAAGAATTTCGTGGGTCAATGACCAAGAAATTCGTTAAATTCGGTGTTACGCTCTTCACTCTTTTCGGTTACATTGTGGTCTGGTTAATGTCTGGGCATATTTTCACAAATGAATTACAATTTGGCAAAAAATAAACATGTGTGTCTATACGCTGTTCATATATAGCACTTTGTTTGATGGCCTACTGTTGTAGATCGGTTGAGGAAGTAAAAAAAAACTCATAAAAAACTTATTGACCGGAAGTGAGGGGAGTCGCAAGACGTTACCATCACCTAGATCGATTCAGGATCTCTAATTGAGGTCTCCGGGATTCGTCTGTTCAATACTCGAACCGGATATCAATGCGACGGTGAGGTAAAAGGAGCCTGCGATGCATCGAATCCTTCTCTTCCTGTAGCAACAAGCTTTCTGCCATTCTTAACAGCCCTCGCTCAACCTCTTGTGGATAAGTAACTCTATTGACATCAGTTGACGGGACGATAATGGTTAATACCAAGCTACAGGGTTACAGTGCTGATGTGTTCTTAGGCTGACGTGTATAGATGCTGTATCACAACAAAATGCATTTTGCATTTGCGAAACCTGGCCTCTCCGAGTGGAGGATGCTAATCGACCACCAATGTCTCCCAAGCATTGCTCGTGTCTGGTGGGAACATCGGGTGAGCAATGACGAGGTCCGTCATCGTGTGTTGGGTGTGGATAGTCATTCCCTGACAGAAATAATCACTCTACACCGCCTCCGATGGCTTGGCTATATTTTCCGTATGCCTGCCCATCGTCTACCCTTCTGTGCTCTCTGGCACATGCTAGGCAAGGCTGGAAGAAACGTCGTGGCGTTCAGACCATGACATGACGTAGAGGTATGAAGACGTTAGCTTCAGTTTTGGCTTCGGTTGGTGCAGCCCACCTTCCAAGT